TCTGTCAACCACCGCATTCTTATTGGCAGACTAAATAGCCTTGGTTTCTCAAATGACTGCCTCGCCTGGTTCACCAACTACTTCTCAGATAGAGTTCAGTGTGTCAAATCGGAGGGCCTGTTGTCTGGACCTATGGCAGTCTCTATGGGGGTGCCACAGGGTTCAATTCATGGGCCGACACTTTTCTCCGTGTATATCAATGATGTCGCTCTTGCTGCTGGTGACTCTCAGATCCACCTCTACGCAGACGACACCATTTTGTATACATCTGGCCCTTCATTGGACACTGTGTTAACAAACCTCCAAACGAGCTTCAATGCCATACAACAATCCTTCAGTAGCCTCCAACTGCTCTTAAACACTAGTAAAACTAAATGCATGCTTTTCAATCGAACGCTGCTGGCACCCGCCCACCCGACTAGAATCACCACTCTCGACGGGTCTGACCTAGAGTATGTGGACAACTACAAATACCTAGGTGTCTGGTTAGACTGTAAACTCAACTTCCAGACTCACATAAAGAATCTCCAATCCAAAGTTAAATCTAGAATCGGCTTCCTATTTCGCAATAAAGCCTCCTTCACTCGTGCTGCCAAACATGCCCTCGTAAAACTGACTATCCTACCGATCCTTGACTTCGGCGATGTCATTTACAAAATAGCCTCCAACACTCTACTCAGCAAATTGGATGTAGTCTATCACAGTGCCATCCGTTTTGTCTCCAAAGCCCCATACACTACCCACCACTGTGACCTGTACGCTCTTGTTGGCTGGTCCTCACTACATGTTCGTCGTCAAACCCACTGGCTCCAGGCCATCTATAAATCACTGCTAGGCAAATCCCCGCCTTATCTTAGCTCATTGGTCACCATAGCAGCACCCATCCGTAGTCTGCGCTCCAGCAGGTATATCTCACTGGTCATTCCCAAAGCCAACACCTCCTTTGGCCGCCATTCCTTCCAGTTCTCTGCTGCCAATGACTGGAACGAATTGCAAAAATCTCTGAAGCTGGAGACTCTTATCTCCCTCAATAACTTTAAGCATCAGTTGTCAGAGCACCTTACCGATCACTGCACCTGTACACAGCCCATCTGAAATTAGCCCACCCAACTACCTCATCCCTATATTGTTATTTATTTTGCTCTTTTGCACCCCAGTATCTCTATTTGCACATAATCTCTTGCACATCTAGCATTCCAGTGTTAATACTATTGTAATTATTCTGCACTATAGCCTATTTATTGCCTTACCTCCATAACTTGCTACATTTGCACACACTGTATATATATTTTCTTGCAGTAGTCTTGGTGTATCGGAACAGTTGGTTATCGATGTACAGTTTATCGACTACAAGAGCTACACATTTCCCTTTAAGTCTATAAACCTTGAAGAGTGGGTACAGAATTTTGCGCCGTTCTGCAGTTTCCTTCGGGAACTGATCATTCATTCCTTATCAGCGAGTCTTTTGTTCAGGCTTTTAACCATTTATTTTATCTTTAAAGAATGCACATTTGGCAACGATTGGGCGCTCGTATCGCTGTCCTCTGTCCGAAACGGTGTACACGTTCGAATTTGATTTTGTTGACAGTATCGCCTGGGATGTGTAGCGCTTTAAGGAGGAATTCTTTCACCACGCTTTCAGCTCTTCACCCTCATTTTCTTTAATACCAGTAAGTACCAGATTTTCTTGCATGGATCTTTATTCCAAGTAAGGCTTCTCTCAGAAACATATTCTCCTTTTTAAGTTAATTAACATCTGTTTCAATAGTATTGATTTAGCTTTAGCTAAGGAAGTCTCAAGGTTTTGCTTGCCGGAGGTAGAGTATCTCATGAGTTTTCATCTATATTTTTTGTAGCTGTCTATGTACCACCACAAACCGATGCTGGCACTAAGATTGCACTCAATGAGCTGTATAAGGCCATAAGTAAACAGGAAAATGCTCATCCAGAGGCAGCGCTCCTAGTGGCCGGGGACTTTAATGCAGGGAAACTTAAATCCGTTCTACCTAATTTCTACCAGCATGTTAAATGTGCAAGCAGAGGAAAAATAATCTAGACCACCTTTACTCCACACACAGAGATGCGTACAAAGCTCTCCCTTGCCCTCCATTTGGCAAATCTGACCATAACTCTATCTTCCTGATTCCTGCTTATAAGCAAAAAATAAAGCAGGAAGCACCAGTGACTCGGTTAATAAAAAAGTGGTCAGATGACGCAGATGCTAAACTACTGGATTGTTTTGCTAGCACAGACTGGAACATGTTCCGGGATTCTTCAGATAGCATTGAGGAGTACACCACATCAGTCACTGGCTTCATCAATAAGTGCATCGATGACGTCGTCGCCACAGTGACCGTACGTACATACCCCAACCAGAAGCCATGGACTACAGGCAACATCCGCACTGAGCTAAAGGGTAGAGCTGCCGCTTTCAAGGAGTGGGACTCTAACCTGGACGCTTTTAAGAAATCCCGCTATGCCCTTTCAACAGCTTCTACCCCAAAGCCATACGACTCCTGAACAGCTAATCATGGCTACCCGGACTATTTGCACTGCCCCCCCCCCACCCCACCCCATCCCCCTGTTTTACGCTGCTGCTACTCTGTTTATTATTAATGCATAGTCACTTTAACTCTACCCACATGTACATATTATCTCGACTAGCCGGTGCCCCCGCACATTGACTCTGTACTGGGACCACCCTGTATATAGCCTCCCTACTGTTATTTTATTTTACTGCTGCTCTTTAGTTATTTGCTTTCATTTTTTTACTTAACACTTTTTTTTTATTTTCCTTTTTATTTAAAAAAACTGCATTGTTGGTTAAAGGCTTGTCAGTAAGCATTCCACTGTAATGTCTACACCTGTTGTATTCGGCGCATGTGGCAAATACAATATGATTTGTTTCTTTCTCTATTGTCGCAGCTTTTTCGGTACTCATTTCGAGGCTCTCCTTCAGCTCCTTAATGTCTTTACTGAGAAATTCCAGTACGCCCAATTTATCATTTATTGACTTTTGCAGGTGGGTTTCCACTCTTTGAGGAATCTCGTAGTTTTCGCTTGGAGTTTGGTTCTCCATTTTTTTTTTTCTTCCCCTGGTTCCTCTCCAACATGTTTTGACCTCAACTGCTTTTGTAATATTTATCATTAAACTTCTTTAGCCGTATACGTTTTGGGGGGTTATTATCCAGCTTGAATGTTATTGCCCGCAAGTAAATGGATCAGTGCAGTGCTACTGTTTTAGAGATAATGAATATTGCGATTTTTCATGAGGCATTCTGTACCGCCATCTTCAGTCCGCCATCACATCTGGGATGGTTGCATTTTAACTATTAGTAGACTACATGATCTATGTTCGATCATGACTTGACCTCCCAAAATGGGGCTTGGTAGTGGATGAAAGGACAAAATGTTCTGCCATGAATCCTTTGATGGTGAGAAGTTAAAATCAATGTCAAGTTCGGCCTACAGCCCTCAGCCCAATCTTTTTAACGGAACAAGTTATAGGAGGAGCTCTGTTGTTCCTCTACTTTTCCCCTTCACCCCTTCACCCCCACAGTCCCCCTTATCTCTCTGTTCTTGGGTCTGGGCCAAGGGGGGCCTCCACTAAACTCAGTGGGAAGCTTGTGTGTGTCCTGGTTTATTTCTATTATTTTTTCCTCATGCATTCTTAATCCTGGAATGTCTGTTCATGATTCAACAAATAGGCCTAGCATGTGATCACCATATTTGTTATCTGGCGTACAGTGTAATTTAAATCTGATTTGATAGTGCAGTTAAAAGAAGTTCAGTGAGTTGCTCTCCTGTCTGTTAATGCTTTATAGAGTAATCCGGTAAGGTTATCTGGCTGAAGTGAAACCGGAATGTGTGTCAGTGAGTTCACTGCCTACAGGAAAGACTAACAGAAAGCTGGTGGGGAGGACAAGGAAGGAGACTGTAGAGAGGATAGAGGTAAAAGCAGACATTTTGTAGCGCTTCACTCTGGCCTCAATAAGGTCTGTGCTCAGACCTAGATTTCTGTGCAAATCACTCAGCCGTCAACAAATGATTTGGGTAATGGTGCAAGTGCAGCCTTCTCTTGGAGTTCATCCCACTGTGTCCCCTCCCCTGTCACATACAGGACCCTACACACGTACATTGTAATATTGTTGTATGGTGGTATTATACATTTTGTATTGTAGATATGTAGTGGTGTAATAATGTTATATGATATACTGTTTTATCTTTTGTTTTAATGTGTGATGTAAGTGCCTTAATGTGTTTGGACCCCAGGAAGAATAGCTGCTGCCTTGGCATACACATGACTGACCAACTGTTTATTGAGTGCTAGTCCCTGCTCATGATTAACTATAATTTCCCTTGAATGTGTTCAGGGTTAGAAGTGAATAAACACATTCCTTAGATGTTTGAGCTTTGAAACCCAAGACTGTATTCTTTCTGCCCCAGCAGGGTGTTTATTAGAATTGTTTAGAGATTAGAATCGTTGCTAGGCCCGTTTCTTGCTCAGCTTGTTTTTTCAATGAGCTGCTATGTCCTTAGCCCAATGTCAAAAGGGTGAGATGCTAGTGAATGATTGATGCAGGTAACTGAAAGTCTAACAATGGATATTGTAATCGGTCTTCCTCTGTCAGCATGTTTGTTAATGTCTCAGCCTCCATTCGTCTCTCCCAACAATCTACCAAATCCAAACCCTGAATAACTGCTTGCTGATGTCTACTTCACGTTGCCCCCTGCTGGTCATAAGAAGAACTGATCACAGCCAGGCTCTATATTGATTGATGACTGAGAGATCAGTGTTTCTATAATCACCTCAGCAACCAAATCTGCCTCTGGAATTCCTATTTTTTTTCAACATGTCTGGCCAACTTACCAGTCCACACTCTCCCTCCATAAACAACAGCCCCCTTTGTTATTAGGATAAAATCAGGTAATCTGTTGAGTATGTTTTAGGTCTTGAGGGATCATCACCTCTGACCCTTAACCTCTCTTGTTTCCAAGGTTATGATCATTGGAAAGGGCAAGTGCTGACGGCAGAGGAGCTTAACGTTCTCTATGCGGGTATCAAACTCAACAACGTCAACCATTATGACTACATCCTCACAGGTGAGACTTGCAGCTGTTTCAGTTTTCAATATTGATTCTAGAATAGTATGTAGGATTGTTATGGCTGTGTTGACCTTTAACCCCCTAAGGTCGATGGCCGCACCCCCGCGGAAATCAAAAATGTCAGTTTTAAGATATCTGCATTGGATGCGTCTCAACCCATCACAGCCGCCTGTGTCGCCCTTCCACATCTGCAGTGAAAGGTGACAGAGCTAGAGCGGTGTTTGTCAGACCATGAGACATCCCGAAAACCGGTCTTCTCACAAAGTCGTCTGTAGCATCCGAACGGTTTGGCTTAGAAAATATTATGACCCCTTTTTGGGAAAGATGAGACTCTCACGAACACGATGGGGGTCTCCGTTTTGCTCTATGATGCCCACAAGCATCTTGGGACTCGTCTGAAGCCGGTACAACCCATCTGCCAACTTCTGTATGTAGCATCTGAACAGTTTGGGCTACACACTAATATGACCCCTCTGTGCAAAGGTGAGACTCTCATGAACACACTGTTTTGCTCTAGTACGCCCACAGGCCTCACAAGACTTGTCTGACGATCCCCTGGTACCAGTTCAAAACATTAATGGAAGTGTAAATGGAGACTGTTTAGTGCCAAAAATAAGGGGTTAAATACATGTACAAAAATATATATATATATCCTGATCTTTCTTTTATCCCTCAGATATAGTACGGACACTTCAGAACAAACATCCTTTAAAACATTTTTGGGGACTATCTGTTATTCAATGCGTTTGTATGGGCTAATAGCACTAAGACCAAATAAAAATGTTCATCAAATATTTTTTTGATACTTCAAGGGGTCTAAAAATTCAAAATCAAATAGCTGAATGATATTTGGTATGACCTTCTTAAAACAATTCCATACAGCTTAGTAGAACCCCCCCTCCCCCGGCTTAGACAGGGCTTAGACTGTTTAGTGCCAAAAAATAAGGGGTTAAATACAAAAAAAAGTATATATACTACCACCAGTCAAAAGTTTGGACACATCTACTCATTCAAAGTTTTTTTTTTTTTTTTTTACTATTTTCTACATTGTAGAATAATAGTGAAGACATCAAAACTATGAAATAACACATATGGAATCATGTAGTAACCAAAAAAGTGTTAAACAAATCTAAATATATTTTATATTTGAGATTCTTCAAATAGCCACCCTTTGCCTTGATGACAGCTTTGCACACGCTTGGCATTCTTTCAACCAGCTTCACCTGGAATGCTTTTCCAACAGTCTTGAAGGACTTCCCACATATGCTGAGCACTTGTTGACTGCTTTTCCTTCACTCTGCGGTCCGACTCATCCCAAACCATCTCAATTGGGTTGAGGTCGGGGGATTGTGGAGGCCAAGACCCCCCCCCCCAGCTTAGACTCTTTTGGGTTAACCTATGCTCTGTAAAGATTGGAATAAGTTTTCTTTAACGTTTACACATGAGGTGTGTGACCTTTGTGTAACCCAGAGATCTCTTCTTCGCCAAGGGTACACCAGGGACACATCTTTCCTAGAGACGGTGGTGGACATTGTTCAGGAGCTGAAGAGGTTGAATCCTAAACTGGTGTATGGTGAGTAACTATTGCCACACAGATGGGTATCCCATATACTGTAGCTACACTCGGCAAGGTTGGGGGTGAATGTAGAGCTTGGATGGGAGTGTCTTCCATCTTTTCTTTCTTTGTGTTATCAGTGTGTGATCCAGTGATGGGAGACCAAGGCTCTATGGTAAGTGTCCATGCTTATAGCCTTTTTATTATCGTTTTGTTATCCATGCGTATAGTCCTTTGTTATTATTGTTATAATAATAGTAATGTTCAAAGCACTCATGAATATACTACCCTCTTCTTTTCCAGTATGTCCCTGAGAATATACTGCCTGTTTACAGAGACCAAGTCGTAGCAGTGGCTGACATCCTCACACCCAACCAGTTTGAGGCAGAGTGAGTACAGTTGCTACTAGGATACGTTGGGTTACATTTATTAAGTTGCTATGTGCTGCACAACATGCCATAATGTAGCTATTACAGTAATGAGACCATGAATGCTTACTACAGTGTTACTACCTCAGAGAAAAACCTGATTGCTGTTCTTAGCCCTTTGTAGAGTTATGCAGGAAGGCCCGAGGGGGTGTGGTATATGAGTGCCTGGACACAGCCCTTAGCCGTGGTATATTGGCCGTATCCCACAAACCCCACGAGGTTCCTTATTGCTGTTATAAACTGGTTTCCAACTTAATTAGACCAGTAAATAGTAATGTTTTGTCATACCCATGGTATACCGTCTCATATACCACGGCTTTCAGCCAATCAGCATTCAGGGCTCGAAGGACCTCTTATAGGTCACAATCTCTTTCTTCCCTTATATTTTATTCATAAAGCAGCAGACCAAACCCTTCCCCAGCCCTTTTAAGGGAACTGTGCCCTGGTTTATGCATGCAGAATCACACATGGAGTGACTTGATTTGCCCTGCAAAATGCACCCTCTGGACAGATGTGGAATTACAATGGGCAAACAATGTTATTTTGTATAACAAGTATGTCTTGCTCCGCTCTGTCCTGTACTGTAACCTCTGTCCTGTCCTGTAACCTCTGTCCTGTCCTGTAACCTCTGTCCTGTCCTGTAACCTCTGTCCTGTCCTGTAACCTCTGTCCTGTCCTGTAACCTCTGTCCTGTCCTGTAACCTCTGTGTGTCTCTTAGGCTGCTGACGGGGAGGAAGATCAGCACAGAAAAAGACGCTCTTGAGGTGGGTTCCACTGTCCATTGTAGAGCTAATACACGATGATGATGATGATGATGATGATGATGGTGGTGGTGGTTTTAATATTGACTTATGATGAAGGCTTCTTGCCCTCTCAGGTGATGGAGCTGCTCCACCAGATGGGTCCTGATACGGTGGTCCTCACCAGCACAGACCTGACCTCTCCTCGTGGGGACCAGTTCCTAGTGGCCCTCGGGAGCCAGAGAATAGGTAAGGCAAGGGCTGGGAGGGAGGGCTCTGACTGGTGAAGAAATGTGTCTCTGTAGTGCATGTGGAAGTTTAACTTGCCAACATGTTAAAAGGTAACAGAGACTCATACTGACACTGTGTCCTTCCCTCAGTTAGACCAGATGGGACCAAGTCTACCCAGAAGATTCGGATTGAGATGCCCAAGGTGGATGCAGTGTTTGTGGGCACAGGGGACCTGTTTACTGCCATGCTTCTGGCCTGGAGCCACCACCACCCCAATGACCTGAAGGTCAGTAATACCCCCAGCAGGGGGTTTATTAGATATGTTTAGAGATTAGAATCGTTGCTAGGCCCGTTTCTTGCTCAGTTGTGAATGGCTTGTTGTTTTTTTCAATGAGCTGCTATGTCCTTAGCCCAATGTCAGAGGGAGAGATGCTAGTGAATGATTGATGCAGGTAACTGAAAGTCTAACAATGGAGATTGTAATCACTCTTCCTCTGTCAGCATGTTTGTTAGTGTCTCAGCCTCCATTCGTCTCTCCCAACTATCTACCAAATCCAAACCCTGAATAACTGCTTGCTGACGTCTACTTCACGTTGCCCCCTGCTGGTCATAAGAAGAACTGATCACAGCCAGGCTCTATATTGATTGATGACTGAGAGATCAGTGTTTCTATAATCACCTCAGCAACCAAATAATTTTTTTTCAACATGTCTGGCCAACTTACCAGTCCACACTCTCCCTCCATAAACAACAGCCCCCTTTGTTGTCAGGATAATATCAGGCAATCTGTTGAGTATGTTTTAGGTCTTAAGGTGATCCCTCACCTCTGACCCTTAACCTCTCTTGTTTCCAAGGTTATGCTCATTGGAAAGGGCAAGTGCTGACGGCAGAGGAGCTTAACGTTCTCTGAGGATATCAAACTCAACAACGTAAAAATATGTCAGTTTTAAGATAGAGATACAGTGCTGTGAAAAAGTATTTGCCCCCTTTCTAATTTTCTCAACATTTGCATATTTGTGATACTGAATGTTATCAGATCTCCAACCAAAACCTAATATTAGATAAAGGGAACATAAGTGAACAAATAACACAACAATTACATATTTATTTCATAAACAAAGTTATGCAACACCCAATTCCCCTGTGTGAAAAAGTAATTGCCCCCTTACACTCAATAACTGGTTGTGCCACCTTTAGCTGCAATGACTCTAACCAAATGCTTCCTGTAGTTGTTGATCAGTCTCTCACGTCGCTGTGGAGGAATTTTGGCCCACTCTTCCATGCAGAACTGCTTTAACTCAGTGACGTGTGGGTTTTCAAGCATGAACTGCTCGTTTCAAGTCCTGCCACAACATCTCAATTGGGATTAGGTCTGGACTTTGACTAGGCCATTCCAAAACTTCCAATTTGTTGCTTTTTAGCAATTTTCATGTAGACTTGATCGTGTGTTTTGGATCATTGTCTTGCTGCATGACCCAGCTGCGCTTCAGCTTCAACTCACAGACGGATGGTCTGATATTCTCCTGTATAATTCTCTGATACAGAGCAGAATTCATGGTTCCTTCTATTAAGGCAAGTCATCCAGGTCCTGAGGCAGCAAAGCATCCCCAAATCATCACACCACCACCACCATGCTTGACCTTTGGTATGATGTTCTTACTGTGGAATGCAGTGTTTGGTTTTTGCCAGGCATAATGGGACCCATCTCGTTCAAAAAGTTTACTAAAGTTTGCTAAAAAGCACCTGGATGATCATCAAGACTCTTGGAAGAACGTTCTATGGACAGATGATTCAAAAGTATAACTTTTTGGACGACATGGTTCCAGTAATGCCTGGTGAAAACCAAACTCTCCATTCCACAGTAAGAACATCATACCAAAGGTCAAGCATGGTGGTGGTGGTGTGATGGTTTGGGGATGCTTTGCTGCCTCAGGACCTGGACGACTTGCCTTAATAGAAGGAACCATGAATTCTGCTCTGTATCAGAGAATTCTACAGGAGAATGTCAGACCATCCGTCTGTGAGCTGAAGCTGAAGCGCAGCCGAGTCATGCAGCAAGACAATGATCCAAAACACACGATCAAGTCTACATGAAAATTGCTAAAAAGCAACAAATTGGAAGTTTTGGAATGGCCTAGTCAAAGTCCAGACCTAATCCCAATTGAGATGATGTGGCAGGCCTTGAAACGAGCAGTTCATGCTTGAAAACCCACACGTCACTGAGTTAAAGCAGTTCTGCATGGAAGAGTGGGCCAAAATTCCTCCACAGCGATGTGACAGACTGATCAACAACTACAGGAAGCATTTGGTTAGTCATTGCAGCTAAAGGTGGCACAACCAGTTATTGAGTGTAAGGGGGCAATTACTTTTTCACATAGGGGAATTGGGGGTTGCATAACTTTGTTTATGAAATAAATATGTAATTGTTGTGTTATTTGTTCACTTATGTTCCCTTTATCTAATATTAGGTTTTGGTTGAAGATCTGATAACATTCAGTATCACAAATATGCAAAAGCAGAGAAAATTAGAAAGGGGGAAAATACTTTTTCACAGCACTGTATCTGTTTTTTGCATCGGATGCGTTTCAATCCACCGCATCTGCCTATGTGGCCCTTCCGCATCTGCGGTGAAAGGTGACAGAGCGGTGTTTGTCAGACATCACGAAAACCGGTCTTCTCACAAAGTCGTCTGTAGTGTCCGAACGGGGTTGGCCTTGAAATGATTATGACCCCTCTATGGACAGATGAGACTCTCACGAACACCAGGGTGTTCTCCGTTTTGCTCTAATGACCTGAAGGTCAGTAATACAGGGGACTGGGGAGGTTATCAATGCGGAGATAACCAAGCTACATTATCCTTTAATAATGTAATATGTAGTTTTATCCATGGACTAGTTGATCTTTTCTAACATACTTTGTCATCTCTCTCAGGCTGCCTGTGAGAAGACTGTCTCTGTCCTGCACCATGTTATCAAGAGGACCATTACCTATGCCAACGGTGAGATGATATACAAGTCTCTGCCTGCCTGTCTGTATGACTGTCTAATCTACACTCAACAAATGCAACATGCAACAATTTCAAAAATGTACTGGGTTACATTTCATATAAGGAAATCAGTCAATTGAAATAAATTAGGCCCTAATCTATGGATTTCACATGATTGGGAATACAGATATGCATCTGTTGGTCACAGATACCTTTAAAAAGGAAAGTAGGGGCATGGATCAGAAAACCAGTCAGTATCTGGTGTGACCACCATTTGCCTCATGCAGCGCGACACATCTCCTTCTCATACAGTTGATCAGGCTGTTTATTGAGTCCTGTGAAATGTTGTCCCACTCCTCTTCAATGGCTGTGCGAAGTTGCTGGATATTGGCAGGAACTGGAACATGCTGTCGTACGCGTCGATCCAGAGCATCCCAAACAGCTCAGTGGATGACATGTCTGGTGGGTATGCAGGCCATGGAAGAACTGGGACATTTACAGCTTTCAGGAATTGTGTACAGATCCGACATGGGGCTGTGCATTATGAGATGATGGCAGCGGATCAATGGCACGACAATGGGCATCAGGATATCGTCATGGTATCTGTGCATTCAAATTGCCATCGATAAAATGCAATTGTGTTTGTTGTCCGTAGCTTATGCCTGCCCATACCATAACCCCACCGCCACCATGGGGCACTCTGTTCACAACGTTGATATCAGCAAACCGCTCGCCCACACGACGCCATACACGCTGTCTGTCATCTGCCGGTACAGTTGAAACCGGGAATCATCCGTGAAGATCTCACTTCTCCAGCGTGCCAGGGGAAAGGAGGATACCTAGTCAGTTGTACAACTGAATGCATTCAACTGAAATATGTCTTCAGCATTTAACCCAACCCCTCTGAATCAGAGAGGTGCGGGGGGCTGCCTTAATCGACATCCACGTCATCGGTACCCAGGGAGCAGTGGGTTAACTGCCTTGCTCAGGGGCAGAACGACAGATTTTTACCTTGTCAGTTTAGGGATTCGATCCAGCAACCTTTCAGTTACTGGCTCAACGCTCCTACCCGCCAGGCTACTTGCCGCCCCAGTGGCCATCGAAGCAGAGCATTTGCCCACTGAAGTCAGTTACGACGCCAAACTGCAGTCAGGTCAAAACCCAGGTGAGGACTATGAGCACACAGATGAGCTTCCCTGAGATGGTTTCTGACAGTTTGTGCAGAAATCCTTTGGTTGTGCAAACCCAGTTTCATCAGCTGTCCGGGTGGCTGGTCTCAGACGATCCCGCAGGTGAAGAAGCCGAATGTGGAGGGCTGGCGTGGTTACACGTGGTCTGCGGTTGTGAGGCTGGTTGGACGTACTGCCAAATTCTCTAAAACGACGGCGGCGGCTTATGGTAGAGAAATTAATTACATTCTCTGGCAACAGCTCTGCTGGACATTCCTGCAGTCAGCATGTCAATTGCACGCTCCCCCAAAACTTGAGACATCTGTGACATTGTGTTGTGTGACAAAACTGCTCATTTTAGAGTCTCCTTTTATTGTCCCCTGCACAAGGTGCACCTGTGTAATGATCATGCTGTTTAATCAGCTTCTTGATATGGCACACCTGTCAGGTTCGATGGATTATCTTGGCAAAAGGAGAAATGCTCACTAACAGGGATGTAAACAAATTTGTTAACATTTGAGAGAAATAAGCTTTTTGTGCGTATGAAAAATGTCTGGGATTTTTTTATTTCAGCTCATGAAACATGGGACCAACACTTTTTTTATATGTTGCATTTATATTTTTGTTCCAGTCTTTTTCTAACATCTCTCCTCCTCCTCCATCAGAGATGGCCGGCCTTGGTAAGAGACCCAGCCCTGCTCAGTTGGAGCTGAGGATGGTCCAGAGCAAAAAAGACATTGAGGACCCGGACATCGTAGTGGAGGCCACCATCTTATAACACCCAACGCCTCATAAATAGACGTATAGGACTTTTACATCATGAGATGTCATCTTGCCTTATAGGATCTCGTAGAGGGCACTGTCAGTCAGAGTATTTGCCCTGTGCACCGCACACACATATACTTAGTCACTGCCATGTGTCTTTACTATGACCTGAGCATTGTCACCCATTGAAAACATGGTAGATGGTGTTAGAGCAGGGTTGTTTCACTTTTTCAGCTTGAGACCCAGTTGAGCAATTGACCGTCCTCCCGTGACCCAAATCACCCTCCAACGACCCAAATTAAGAATAGTGTGTGTGATTATAGATGTGTCCTCATAACTCACAATCCAGAACACACCTCTCACATTCCCAGGGCCCACTTTGGGCCATAGTTTCAGAAATCCTATCTTTTTTTTTTTTTGGGGGGGGGGATGTTCAGCTTTAATATTGCAGATAGATTGTAACTTCCATCGATGTAATTGTCTGCATCACTTCCAATCCCCCATATATATTTTTTCCGCAAATATACATACATACATACATACATACATACATACATACATACATACATACATACATACATACATACATACATACATACATACATACATACATACATACATACATACATACATACAGTGGGGAGAACAAGTATTTGATACACTGCCGATTTTGCAGGTTTTCCTACTTACAAAGCATGTAGAGGTCTGTCATTTCTATCATAGGTACACTTCAACTGTGAGAGACGGAATCTAAAACAAAAATCCAGAAAATCACATTGTATGATTTTTAAGTAATTAATTTGCATTTTATTGCATGACATAAATATTTGATACATCAGAAAAGCAGAACTTAATATTTGGTACAGAAACCTTTATTTACAATTACAGAGATCATACGTTTCCTGTAGGTCTTGACCAGGTTTGCACACACTGCAGCAGGGATTTTGGCCCACTCCTCCATACAGACCTTCTCCAGATCCTTCAGGTTTCGGGGCGGTCGCTGGGCAATACGGACTTTCAGCTCCCTCCAAAGATTTTCAATTGGGTTCAGGTCTGGAGAATGGCTAGGCCACTCCAGGACCTTGAGATGCTCTTACGGAGCCACTCCTTAGTTGCCCTGGCTGTGTGTTTCGGGTCGTTGACATTCTGGAAGACCCAGCCATGACCCATCTTCAATGCTCTTACTGAGGGAAGGAGGTTGTTGGCCAAGATCTCGCGATACATGGCCCCATCCATCCTCCCCTCTACGGTGCAGTCGTCCCGTCCCCTTTGCAGAAAAGCATCCCCAAAGAATGATGTTTCCACCTCCATGCTTCACAGTTTGGATGGTGTTCTTGGGGTTGTACTCATCCTTCTTCTTTCTCCAAACACGGCGAGTGGAGTTTAGACCAAAAAGTTATATTTTTGTCTCATCAGACCACATGACCTTCTCCCATTCCTCCTCTGGATCATCCAGATGGTCATTGGCAAACTTCAGATGGGCCTGGACATGCGTGCGCTGCAGGATTTTAATCCATGATGGCGTAGTGTGTTACTAATGGTTTTCTTTGAGACTGTGGTCCCAGCTCTCTTCAGGTCATTGACCAGGTCCTGCCGTGTAGTTCTGGGCTGATCCCTCACCTTTCTCATGATCATTGATGCCCCACAAGGTGAGATCTTGCATGGAGCCCCAGACCGAGGGTGATTGACCGTCATCTTGAACTTCTTCCATTTTCTAATAATTGCACCAACAGTTGTTGCCTTCTCACCAAGCTGCTTGCCTATTGTCCTGTAGCCCATCCCAGCCTTGTGCAGGTCTACAATTTTATCCCCGATGTCCTTACACAGCTCTCTGGTCTTGGCCATTGTGGAGAGGTTGGAGTCTGTTTGATTGAGTGTGTGGACAAGTGTCTTTTATACATTTACATTTACGTCATTTAGCAGACGCTCTTATCCAGAGCGACTTACAAATAGGTGGGATCACCACTTCAATGTTTTTTTGTTTTTGTTTTGTTTTTGGGTTGGGGTTTGGGTTGGGGTAAGGGGGGGGTAGAAGGATTACTTTATCCTATCCCAGGTATTCCTTAAAGAGGTGGGATTTCAAATGTCTCCGGAAGGTGGTGAGTGACTCCGCTGTCCTGGCGTCGTGAGGGAGCTTGTTCCACCATTGGGGTGCCAGAGCAGCGAACAGTTTTGACTGGGCTGAGAGGGAACTATGCTTCCGCAGAGGTAGGGGAGCCAGCAGGCCAGAGGTGGATGAACGCAATGCCCTCGTTTGGGTGTAGGGACTGATCAGAGCCTGAAGGTACGGAGGTGCCGGTCCTCTCACAGCTCAGAAGGCAAGCACCATGGTCTTGTAGCAGATGCGAGCTTCAACTGGAAGCCAGTGGAGTGTGCGGAGGAGCGGGGTGACGTGAGAGAACTTGGGAAGGTTGAACACCAGACGGGCTGCGGCATTCTGGATGAGTTGTAGGGGTTTAATGGCACAGGCAGGGAGCCCAGCCAACAGCGAGTTGCAGTAATCCAGACGGGAGATGACAAGTGCCTGGATTAGGACCTGTGCCGCTTCCTGTGTAAGGCAGGGTCGTACTCTCCGAATGTTGTAGAGCATGAACCTACAGGATCGGGTCACCGCCGAAAATTACAGGCCTCTCTCATCTTTTTAAGTGGGAGAACTTGCACAATTGGTGGCTGACTAAATACTTTTTTTCCCCACTGTGTGTGTGTGTGTGTGTGTGTGTGTGTGTGTGTGTGTGTATATATATATATATATATCTTTAATCTATCCTTTAAAAAAATATATTTTCCTTTAATACTTTCCAACCCCACCACACCTCCCCTAATTGGAGTAAACTAATGAACAACAACGCTTAGGACTCTACTTCCAGTTTATACATACTATATACATTTTATGGACACAGTCAATTTTACAATAATTCTATTTTGTTTGTTTTTACTCCTGAACTTCCTCAACCTCTCCGATCATTTTCATGATGTCCATCCGGTTTGCTTCTATATGCCATATCTTTCAAACTGTGCTCTTCATTATGGAAACCCTATCTTAGAGGACCACACACAGGTTGTGGATATTACCATACATCAGAATAGAGAAGTTATGGTATGGATACCTGATTGGCCCTCAATATTGTGTTGGTATTGGCATGGGCCCTGAGTTTCCCCTGACGATGTGAGCTGACCAGGAACATCTCTGTGCTTCAGTTATGGGTTGGGTGATACATCATAGGCTTTTATCAGATCCAGTGGTGCATCAACATGAGCTGTGCAACCATGAAACATGTTATGCAATACTAATCGTGCACATTTGATCATCAGATTTTCAATTGTCCATTATTGTTTTTTTAAATGCAAAAAGTATAAGATTTCATAGTTTGACATTTTTAAGTGTTTGTTTTCATACTTCTTATGATCTGAATGATTCATAAATGTATTTTACTATTAATGTACTTTGTCCTAAAAATAACAATACTCGTCATTCTTAAATGTCTTACACATTTCAAACTGAGGTAACAATATTTGCACAGATAATCTTGATAAACATGCTTATTATTGTTAATCATTGAATGCTTTTCATAGTCTTGATTGTCTCACTATTTTCATATCGTTACTAGAACACAGGTTTTGATGTTTATGAAAAAGTCAAATTTGGCCTTAGCGGAGTCGTTTTAGAGGAATACCGTCTGTGAATGTTTCGTATCTATGCCTGCGAAGGTAATGGAATAAATCTTTATTACGCAATGTTAGAAAGATAAGTGCCAACGCTGAAGCTCTGGTAAATGATGAGGAATAATAAAATATTATTTTAATTAAACCCACAGGTCTCTGTTGTAGTTGGGCCTCTATGCCTCGGTCTCCCTTGAGTTGGATTACACTGAGCTCCGTAGTGTTCTGTTCTACACTCAGAGTCCTATAAGAGAGGGTGGATAGGGCCACGCTTTAGCTTTGAGATGTTCTCATTGCAGTATTAATTGATCCCACAGGTATTCATGCCTGGCAATGAATGATTTATGACACCAGTGAATCTCTATTTTCTATATTATTTTGTTTGTCCTTGAACTAATGGATATGACTATGCCACAAAAGGGTGAATGTTAGAGATTAAATAAATAGATTGGAAAGAATATTACAGAGAATCATATTACTGTATGGATGGGGGGCCTGTATTCTGGTGAGATTAGGGTCGGGTTTCACAGCATCAGATCGCTGAGCTAATCTAGATTGGAAGGAATATTACAGATTAAAGATGATCCCTCTGCTGTGTCAAAGTAAACTCCAACCAAGATGATGAGTCATGCTTTTTGTTTGGGGTGTGTGTGACCGTCACCATGCCTGTCTGCCCCGCATCAACACTGTCTGTGGTTACACCACCAACAGCTGAGCCCCACTGGAGGTCGAGGAAGGTGTGGTTAGTTACACTAACCAGCAGATGGCCCCTGAGACACAATGATCTCATCCCTGATCCATCCACTGCTACTCGGAGCTGGACTGTACAGAGGGACCATCAATAATCATAAGGGGATAGCGTGAATATTCTTGACTGATGCAACATTCCCAGAATTGTCTTTTTAAAAAGTCTCCCCATTTGTCTGTATCTGAGCTGCTTTGTCTCAGTTCATGGGAACTGCTAAAATGATAGGGGCCGGACCGGAACTTTGATATCTTCTCTGCTCCGATTCGCTTTTGAGGGAGGGATGGTGCTCTCTAGTGATTGGTCATCACTTGTCACCAATGATTTTTTACATACACTAGATGACTGACAGGGGGCAGTGTTTTGAAGCCACCGTGCCTCCATCTTGTAAAATAATATTTAGGAAGCTATAGAAAAGCATCTATTAATGTCTACATTTGTTTTTGATATGTTTATTCAATTACAGACACCTTAATGAATAATTTTAAATTATATGAGAGATAAACATACAAAAATATATAAAGACATCTTCCTTAAAGCATATATATTTTTAAAGTTCTAATGTTACTTTCCCCACTACAACAAAACAAAAATACTTAAATACA